TATATATATATATATATATATATATATATATATATATATTGCTATTACTATTCTTAATCTCAGTTTTCAAATTTCAGCTTTAAAATGCTTTGTGAACTTCCCTGGGAAAGAATCTCATCAGATTTGAAGAATCAGCTCAAAAATGGCAAATGCAATTCTGTGTAGTTTCTGCAAAGTGATATAGTACATGCAAGTTGTAAATACACAAACGTTAGGCCTACAATATAGACACTGATGATATCTCAGCTGACAGTGATTGATGAGGAAAAAGATATTGAAGTTATAGCTGATCATGAAAATGTCAGCTCTGTGTGTAGTTACTGTAGAGAGGTGGATTTTGTGATAAAAGCATCAAGGACAAAACTAAAATAAAATTACCTATATAGCAATGCCCTAATGGTGAAATTGTGCTTGGTATACTGTGTACAATTCTGGTGTTACACCTATGTCTCAGAAAGAATATTGTGAAAAATGTTGAAAAATGTCCAAAAATGGATGGCCAAAATTATAAGGAAGTTGGAGGATTTCTCTTTTAAGGAGAAATTGTTGCATTTAAGATTCTTTTTTTAAAGATTTCAATGAAATGTTTAAAGAAGAAATGGAAGATGCAAAAGTTGATAAAAACATTTAAATAGATTTTCTTTATATTAGGGCTAGGAATATTTACTTATATAAAACATAATAGGATTCAGAATCATTTCATACATAAATCAGCACCATTAGTTGCTAATAAGAAAGTTATAAAATTGAGTCCAGGACTGCTTGATGGCTGTATTACTTAACAACCAAAATTCTGGTCCAAATTGTGGTTGTAAGTCAAGGTCTACTTGTATAAATGTATCTATATTAGATGATATTAATTTTAATCCGTAACAATAAAAAGCTGCTGTTCCCAGAAATTCTTCTCTGTATTTGAATCTCTTTTGCTGCAACTTGAATCATTACTGTGTATATTTTCCTCTGCATTAAAAATATTATGTGGCCATCAAGTGATACAATGCTGCTTAAGTAGATGGATAGAAAATATTTATTGTAGTCACTGACCAACAAGTTAAACAGTCAGCTAAGAAAAGAATAGAAAAATAGAGTGCAAAGAACTATGAATTTAAACAAAGACAACAATAAATTGCATGCAGTTCTGAGCTTTCCACAAATTGCTCATAATATGCTGCTGCTGTGTTATAGCAATAGCACTTAGACTTAGACTGCTTTACAGAACTCTCTAAACAGTTTACAGGCTTCTGGTGGGGGAGGGGCTTGCCGGTGGGAGCTGGTCGTTACAGCTCTGGAATCCTGGTCGCGTGATGAGCAATCCATCAGCCATCTGACAGCTTGTTTACATTTTCTTCAGGCTAAGAAGATAAGGTGAGCTAATTGTGCTGGGCAACGCGCCAACTAACTCTCTCAGATCGACTCTGGGAGGGGAGGAAGGACACCTGAGAGCAGAATTGTCTCTGTACCAGGAATTCCTGTTGCTTATTAGCAGCACAATGATGCGCGCATGCGCGAGAATGGGAATGGCCGCCGAGCTCTAACGCTCCGGCTACTGAAAAGAAACAGCGGAAAATTCCAGGCNACATGCTTTGAGTGAAAAAAGGGCCTAAATGGGATGCCGTAGAACTGGGGTGGGTGGGCGGGGCCACCTGTGATTTCTGCTATCGGTTCAGGCAAACCGGTTAGAACTGGTAGAATACCACCTCTGCCCAAAAGTATACCTTCCATTCTAGTTGCAAGCAGCTCAACAGAAGGGTACATCTGCTCTTTGGAAGCAGGATAACGGAAAAGTACCACAGACACCACTGAGATTTCAATTAGGAAGGGAAACGAGACTTTGTTGTACATCTAAAGATCTTATTATCCAGAGCTCAGTAAGGAGTTACAAGAAATCCTCAACTTACCACCATTTATTTAATGGTTGTTCAAAGTTACAACAGCACTGAACAAAGTGACTTATGTGACCAATGCTCACACTTATGAACTTTGCAGCATCTTCCTGGTCACATGATAAAAATATGAGTACTTGGCAACTGGGATGTATTTACGATGGTCCTTATGATGCAACCTTAACAGCTGGTTTCTGACAAGCAAATCAAATGGGGGGAGGAGCCTGATTCACTTAATGCCCGCTTGGTTCACTTAACAACTGCAGTGATTGGCTTAACAAAAAGGGTTGTAAAATGAGGTGCAACTCACTTAACAATGGTTTTGTTTAGCAACAGAAATTCTTGTCCTACCTAACATGGGTGGTAAGTCAAGGACCAGCTTTAACACGGAGCATCAGAAATGATGCAGCTTTTTCCTGAAATCAATATGCATCCAGGGCTGTCTTTTCCAAATTCAAACTGTTGTCTGAGCATTAAAATTTTATCAAGCTGAGTTTTTAAATCACTGGTTTGCATGAACTAACACCCCTCCTCTGCTTTAAATGCAGGAGTTAGTGTGCCGTAAACTGAAGCATCCATTTTACAGAAAAGTATGCAGATGTCATCCAATTAACACCTTCATTTTAATATCCCACCTCTGTTTTGATCTCAAAACTCAAAGCTAGTTTTTAATCCATTAAATCTTCAGCTATCAAACAAACAAAGCAAATAAAGAAAAGCAAACATGACCAGAATAAGGATATTTTCAAGAATATCCTATATGGCATTTTCCACTCTGTTTTAAATAGTGTCCAATATGATCTTTCACTGATTTGTTGATTAATTTATATTTTAATGATAAAAATGCTTATAGCAGCATTCTGGAAGAATGAAAGAATGAAACATAACTATACCTAGGCACACACAAAAAATGTACATTCAGTTAAAGTTCAGCTCATGAGGCTGGGTAAACTTAGTCAGAATAAGTTTCATTTTAACAGATTGGAAATGATGGAATGATTCTGTGAAGAGTTTTACTTTGATACTTAATTTGACATTCTTTAGTGCTGCATAATGTTCTGCATCTTCTTGACCAGGGTTTCCTCAACTCCAACAGCTTTAAGTTTGGTGAGCTTCAACTCCCAGTATTCCTCACTGGTGGGGAATTCTGAATTTTGGAAGTTAAAGTCCACCCATTTCAAAAGTTGTTGTGGTTGAGAAAACCTGTCCTAGACTCTTAAATCAATTGCACCTTAAATCTAAATAAGAATCATTTGCTAATAAAAATTTTCATAAATAAAACAGAGAATTCTCTTATAAATTCCACCAAAACCTTTAACACATATTTCTGAATGGGGATATAACCTATGCTATTTCAAACTATCACACATATAGTCCTCAATACACCTCAATTCTCCCTAGGTAATGTAATCTTTAGGATTATAATCTTAATGTTAATTGTTAGACAAATATATACTTAAAAAGACAATGTCAGGGTTCCAAGTAACATCCCCAATGAAAGAAGACTCCAAGGCTTGAGATTCCTCAAAGTTCCATTTTACTAGAGATGTCATATTGGCACATCTGGGAAAACCTGAATCTGAAAGTTTCTAGGTTTTCCCCACCCATACAAAAGTTCAAGTCCGTGCCCAGCACCCACATGCCCATCACATGGTCCAATGAGGCACCATCCAAAACTGGAGATGCCTCCCAGTCACCTCATCACAGTTGCAGGGCAAGGTGGCCTTGACTCTCTGAAAAAAGAATGTTATTTTGGCTATATATCACACATACTCCATACAATCCCCCCTCACATTTTCCTACAGTAGAAAATATGGCGGGTCTGAAGGCCCAAATGTAAAAGTTAGCTTCCAGGTCTGACAGACAATACATAAAATATTTGGGTCCCTGAGCTGTCCAGCAGCGTACTTTACTTGAACAAATCCTCATGAGCAAATTCAGAATAAAAATTGTACCAGCTACCATTAAGCAAACAAATTTAATACAAGTAGTCCTGTACTTATGCCCACAATTGAACCCAACATTTCTGTGGTTAAGAGAGACAGTTGTTAAGTGAGTTTTGTCCCATTTTATGATCTTTCTTGCCATAGTTGTTAAATGAATCACTGCAGTTGTTAAGTTAGTAACACAGTTGTTAAGTGAAACTGTCTTCCCTATTGACTTGTCAAAAGGGGATCACATGACTCCAGGACATAAATACAAATTACTTGCCAAGCATCGGAATTTTGGTCAGGTGACCATGAGGATAGTGCAACCGTTTTAAGTATGAAAAACATCCTTAAGTTTATTTTTCCAGTGCCATAACTAAACAATGTGTTGCAAGTCAAGGATTGCCTGTATAGATTGCTATTAATATATTATACAGATGTACATACTTAGAGATGCATCCTTATTCAGCCTGAATCCATGATAAAATAATATTTTTTTAAAAAAATATTATTATTTATTGTTTTAGCTATTTAAAAATATTAAAAAGTAAAAATTACTTTACATTTTTTTGTTGGTTAACTTGAAATAATTTATGACAGCCTGATTAATGGCACATATTTGCAGAAATAAATACATCCCTTCCAATATCCAACATACCTTAAGAACATCTGCTTGTGCTAAATGGAATGTTCTGGCAGAAATATTAATTCCCTTCCCTGCTTGCACCTGAATGCTGTAAATACATTCGTGATTGTTGTCATAGTTGAGGGGATAATTGGGGGACAGTAATATTCCTTCATTAGTGGTGGCAGAAGCTCCACATTCAGCTGCAGGTAAAACAGAATTCAGTGTGTAACTCAATAGAAAACATACATGAAATTGCATTGCAGTTTAATAAACTGTCCTGACTGGCCAACATAAAATTCTTGAAACATATATACATATATACATATATGCATATATGCATACGTGCATATCTACATATGTACATATATACGTGTGTGTGTGTGTGTGTGTGTGTGTGTGTGTGTGTGTGTGTGTGTGTGTGTGTGTGTGTGTAGGTTTATAGGTTTCAAGGAACATTGACAAGAATTTTTATATTTGATATGTTTCTACTGTAACATACAACATGTAAAGAAAGTGGTTTCAATTTAGGTTTCCAAAGAAATATTGCTGCAACAACTGTATGCCTCATATACAAACAACCACTACCTAGATTTGGATGAGAAGGGATCAATAGAACAGAAAGGAAAGGCTGTTGTTAGGGCTAACACTCAGTTTCAAATAGGCTCTAATTTAGAAAAAAAAGTATGAGAGAATTTAACTATTAATAGATGAGACATTCAAACAAGGAATATTATGACAGTTGAGTCTTTTTATAGCACAACTTTATCATTTGTTAAAGATAATATTTATAAAAAGGATAAGAGAAGTAGAGCTAGACTGTATTTCTTTTCTATACTAAGTGATTAAATGCAGATACCCTTAGTGCCAAAAATATTGTTTAATATATTTTGGAAAATTGTTCAAATTATTATGCATACCATAATAATAAAGATTTTAAAGCATACTGCTTGAGAAAATCAGCAATATTATATATATTATATAATATATAATATATAATATATAATATATAANCCTTCCTTCCTTCCTTCCTTCCTTCCTTCTTTCCTTTTTTCTGTTTACCACAAAGAATTAAAGACAAAATGTTTTGCATAGTACCACTGAAATTTTTCTGCACTTCCTGAATTACTCATTCAATATACTGCAGAATAATATTTACTTTGTTTGTAGCTACTTCACATTCATGATTCATCATTCTGTGATGGATAAATCCCAAGGTCTCCTGTACTTCTACCATCTCCAAAATACAATTACAGACAGGAAGGGTGGGGGGAGTTCCATTTAAGTACTTTGTATGATGAAATTTTATCCCTTTTCAATTACTGTATTCTAAGAAGTTCTATCTGCCCAATCTCCCAGCACTATCGGTCTCAACAATGACTCCCAACTTTAGGCCATTACAAAATTGCATGAAGGCATTGCTTTATATGCTGCCAGAGTTATTAAAATGAAATATTAACCATTTTCCCCAAGACTAATTCTCAATCATTTCCCTTGAAAGTTTCTACCCATAGATTCAGGGTGATTTCCTATTCATGAATCATTCTGCTCTTTTAAAATATCCTCCACTCCACTTCCCATGTAATATTTGCTATCCAGCATGATTGAAAATCTCAGCAATTTTGTGTGCAACGCCTCCTTATCTCATCCATTTCATCAATTTTACCATGGTTAATCAGTATTATCAAGAACACTTCTGACCAAACATGGTTAACATTATTCAATATTGAAATTAAATTGCCTTCCCCCCCTCCAAAAAAAAAGTTTAAACTAAGTCAGATTATCCATAAGGTATATTTTTAAAAAATCAAATCAAAGCCATAACAATTGAAACCAAAACAATTGTTTGTGTGCATTGTTCATCAAACACAAAACTGTAATCTCATGCTTACATTCATCACTTTAACCTTTTGGCACACACTCACAAACACACTTATTGATTGAACTGTTTTTTTCAGATCATAGTAGTGGAATATATGAGTTTAGAAAACAGAAGTTCAAAGTTTGCTAAATTATATCATATTATTTTCATGCAGAACTGCTAATTCTAGTTGTACATTAATAGTCGTGATGAGATTAGCATTCTGTTCTTTTTAAATTTTCTATTAATAATATACACACAAACAAGAAAACACACATACTCTAGGAAGAATTAAATCTTTAGTCTGATTTATTCTTTGTGTGATCTGTTATTTTGCCATCGTTTCCACATGTCCACATATCCTATATCCCACTCTAAAGATTACAAAATGGTAAATGTGAGTAATTGTTTAGAATTATCTCCTTCAACTGAAGCCAATATTTTGTTAGCTTTGCTGGCGGTTACCATGTGCCAGGAAAACTCATATTCTCCCAATGTGGTTTGAATCCCAGCAGAAATGTTTAAAAGGTGTGATCAGAATATTAAGATGCTGACCACGATGGTGCCTTGAAGTTCTGAAGATGGGGCCATTTTTAGATATCACAGAGTTTCAATCATACCAGCATGACCACGAATTAGATTTTTTTTTTTGCCATGTCTTGCAATTACCCTAAATCGTAAATTAGCAATTGCACTCTCTACAAGCAGATTGCTGTCAACATCACAAATTAACGATTTGGGTCTAAAAAAGTTACAAGATGAAGAATGACATATGTCAATGTTTAATGACATATGTCATTCTTGACCTGGCATGTATTACTGAGACCTGGCTGGGCCCAGAGGGAGGAGTCCCCCTCGTAGAACTGTGCCCAGAAGGATTTCAAGTGCTGCATCAGCCGAGAGCCCAGGGAAGGGGTGGGGGTGTGGCCGTTGTTATCCGGGAGTCGTTAGTTCCNTACACAGATGATTTACTCTCTGGAAAAAAACACTGTGAGAGTAAGATACCTCTAACACCCCTCAGGATGCGTGTTTTGTTAAGATACAGCTTGTTGTGCCTTAAAATGGCTTTTACTGTACTGCCATAAAATGGCTTCTACTGTACAGCGCAGTGGAGTTGTCGTGGTAATGACATCACATTACTCCATAAGGGGACTCCCTCTGGTAAGGGGAAAATCCAACATTAGAAATTATGTTTGGTCTGGATTATCTATTTGTAAACTGAAAACCTGTTTCACGCCTTGTTGTTTTGGTAACAGAGTTTTCTTATGAAGATATTCTTTCTTATTCTCTGCATCATCCAAGAGACACCCCTGAAAATAACTGATGATGAACCTTTCAACTGATGATTAACTAGCTTGTGAAAATTTATAGTTACCTTTCCTTATTCTAGGCAGAAAGGGGCATTTTTATTTAAAAAAAATTCAAACAAGCAATATAATTACATATCAAAACTATCACTGGACAAGATTCTATTTATTATCACATTGAACAGTTGTCTGAACACATGCATGAAACTGTAGATAAAAACGTGTTTCTGACATAACAAATAGGCACAGGAAATCCCAGCAAATTAATTATCTCAACAAGCAGTTTTCTCACAGAGGGGGAAAAAAGTACTCTCTAAACATTAATTTTGTGTGGTAGGTTTATTTTAAAATACTAGTGGGAATTATATATACTGTATAGTATATACACAAGGCTTCATGCTTTGTAAAAAACTACGTATAGGAAACATGGCTGTTTAGGTCTTCTGCTTAGAGACAATATTTAAAGAAAAAATATCATTTTATCAGCAGCATTTTCTTATCTTAATTAAAATATGTTTTGGAATCATTTTGTATGAACTGTTTCCAGATTGTATTTTCGCACTTCACCCAATCAAATTCTATGAGTGTCTGGATTTACTGTAGCTTTCATCTGTGCTTCAACATAGTTTCAGCAAGGAAATTCAAATTAAAACGTTTTGCTCAATGGCCATTCTTTAGGGGCTCAGAAGAGAGAGAGAGCTATAAATGTGAGATAATTTTTAAAAAGCTATAAAAGCTATGCTCTGATAGTGTAAGGAAGACATGGCTTTTTTCTCTCCATGTTGAACATGTTTAAAAATGTGAAGGGAAACACTGAACCAGAACATAAAAAGGGTGTTATTATAAGAGACAGATTGGATTTTAGGATTAAAAATGCAACCTACTTTAGACTGTTATAAAGAGAACTAATCAGAAGAAGAAATTAAACGAAGTTTTATTCTTGACAGCCGTGGGTCAGGCATGATTTGATTAAAATTCCTCTACCAAGTACAGAGGTTGGATTAGTGTCATTATTATTATACATTACAGGAATCACAGGACCTTTATGGCAAGGACCTACCACCTTTTTATCAGTTCTTACCCACTACTTAATTCTAATACCCTTCCTGTCATTAATTTTAGAAGCAGTAGGTTTCCAGACATTTCTATTGAAACTGAATTGAAGGGTTCTTGGTGAAAAAGCTGTAGTGAGAAAGTGAAAAAGTCTCACTTCCATCAACACACATAGAGTGGAACAAACACTGTTTTTTTTATAGGTACTACTATATATAAGAAAAATCAAATATTATATGTAGCAATTGTTTTCAACTGAAAATAATATATTTCTAAGGGAAAATAATGGTAAAAGAATGACAATAAACACTGACCAAGTCTTCTGGAATTTTCTTTTCATTAAATATGGTTGGACACAAGAATGATAACCAGGATTTGAGATGTTTCTAAATGTTTTCAGATTGGATTTTTTAGATGCTAATTACTGAGTTATTCCATTAGAAGATTGGCAATGCTGTTCCACACTTCTAATGAAGAATTTGGAAACAGGATAATTTTGGCTATGGTCTACTTTTAATTTATTCTGTACTTCTGGAACAAAGGCAAAATTGACAGCTGATATTTTGATACTTTTTCAAAACTTTACATGTTAAACACATCCTTAAGGGAGAATTAATAAAAGAAAAGTTATATAGAACAGTTGAACATTAAAACTCAAAACTGGACTAAACCAGAAATACCTAACAAATCAAAGTGAAAAGACATGGGAAATGTAAACACTGTATTGTACCAAAAGTAATAGGTATGCACCATGCTTAGACATGCTGTATAGTTGCAAGTTTATGGACAATGACTACACATACAAGCAAATGAAAGCAGCTGACCACGTACCCACACACCTGGGCAGAGGTGCACTCCACACTCTTCGGCCACCACCAAGGCAGATGATTTCTGAAACTCCCTCTAAGCGGTATCCAGAAGAACAGGAGAAAGTAAGAGTATCTCCTACTTCAAAGGTATATCCAATTCTACTTCCAAATTGAGGTGTTCCAGGGTTCTCACATGGTTCTAGATTGTATTCTAAGATGGAAATAAAGGAGCAAATCAACAGCTCATTTAAAAAGTTTCAGCATCTGACAAACAAAGATGTAACTCAGCCCAAATCATTAAGCGTTGCTATCTTATTATAGATCACAAATGTGTATCTGAAGAGCAGTTTAGCCTTCAGATATTCCCACTACCACATACATGGTCAAATAAGTAATAGCAATTCAGATGAAGTTTATAATCATGCTCATACATGTTCAATACAATCTGCAAGAGGCATGTTTATGATTCCAATCACAGCTATAAATGAATGTGAGTCCAACTTATAAAATTATCCAAAAAGATCTGCATCCTGAAAACAAGATCTATTTTCTTATTTGGAATATTATGTCTTGCAATTGGTCTTGAAGCCACTCTCATGTGCTGTGATGTTCCTGTTAAGTAACATACTTTACTTTTATTACAATTTTCTTCAACACCGGTACAACAGACATACTGAGATCTGTGTAATGGAAGTAACATCAAAAGCAATTGCAAAATGCATATTTTAAAAGAAAAAAAAACCCATCGGAAAAAAAGGTAATATTTGGATTTCTCCTTCTCGCCATGCCCTATCTTCGTGACTCTCTCTGAGGTAACTAACACATTTTCTTCAACCTAAAAAAAAAAGCTCGTTTTGTTCCCTTACCCGAGAACGAAATATTAAATCCTTCATAAGATATTGAAAAGTCAGAAATAAAGCGCAATTGAGCCCTGAAATTTCCATAGAGACCAGCATTGATTGGAGATGGTAGTTCTGAACCAGTCAGGCGTGCTAGTGGTTGAGTGAAGCTGCGATTCTCTGTGATTAGTAGGTAGTCATGATGATCTTCCAAATGGAAGGTGTGAAAGGTGAACTGCACTCCTATTAGAAAAATAAAATTAGACTCACATAGTTAACATGAAACCAATTATATCACTGATTAAACTCATACATTTCATTCCAACCATGGGCTCAGAAAATTAAACAAGGTTTATTTTACCCTTGCCCCCAGAGTTTTCATCTATTTTGTCTCTCATCTTTATTGAAACCATTTTTTTCTATGTCTGTGGATTATTCTACATTTTGAGAGTATTTAACAATAGGGCTAAAAAGTCACTACTTTTCATTTACAAACTAAAGGAAAATGTTAACGCTAAATGTTTGCCAAAACTAAATAAAAACTAAACTGAATTAAACAGTAAATTAAACTAAACTAAACAACAATATTTTTTTAAAAAAAATATTCTTGACAGTTAATGGTAACATTAAGGGTGCATAATATGAAACATGATTAAATGAAATATAAATGCATACCTTTTCCATGTGTTACATCCACAGTCCATGTGCAATTCAATGAATTTGGATACAGTTCAGGATAACCAGGAGACAGAATTGTTCCACTAGGTCCTCTAACATCCCCTCCACATAGAGCTGAAAATGTAAGGCCACAATGTAAGGAGGAGAATATAAGAACATCAGCATAGATAATCATTATAAATTTCCCAAAGAATAACTAGAACTTCTAATGTCACTACTTAAACAATGGTATGTAACTGGGAGAACCTGAGAAAATCCATACAATAATCTCTAAATGCAACCAACATTTACAACAAAGTGCTCACAAAGGAACATACTGGTAACACATTAATTGTTAAAAAGTTTTGGTGATAAGCATTCCGAATTGCTGTGATTGATTACAAAGAATGAAAAATTGAAGAATGAAAAAATAAAACTTGTTGAACTCTTGTCTGTCTGTCTTTCTGCCCATCCACCCATCATCCGTCCGTCCGTCCGTCCGTCCGTCCGTCCGTCCGTC